AAGTACTAAGCTTGTGATCTAGCTGATTGAGATACTCATAGGGCATCCAGAGATGCCAAGAACAGCACTGGCCTGTAGAAGCTACTGCTCTGTTGGTAAGATTCTGTGTCCGATGTGGTACCTGCTAGCTAACTGGGAAATGTGACTAGTGCACAAACTTGACACTTAATTGTAATTGGTTAAAATTCAGGTAGCTGCTTGTGGCTAAGGGCTGCCATGTTGGACCTTGCAGCTCTGGAAAAACATTTGTTGAAAGTGTTGATCTGCGGATGATGCTGGACGGGTAAGGCGAGTGGCCTGCCTGATACCTAGCGGTTTGCTAGATTTGGAGGGTTAAAACAGGCAGGTCTGGGGCAGCTGTGGCGATTGCTGACCTTCTTCAGGGGTGGTGTGGGCAGCTTGTAGTTAGGAGGTTGAGATGTCATGCTTCTGAGACATCTGTGTCTGTCTACCTTGTTGCTTCCTGGGCTGGCTGTGTTGTAGTTTGTGACCCGAGGAGAAAACGGCTGTTGTGGAATAGAATATTTGTTTAACTAAGTAAAGATGTGTTACATTCGTTTGTGGTGCAAAATAATTGTTTACCTATATAAAGGTTATTACATTCATTTGTGGTGCAGAATTATTGTTTAACTATGTAAAGATGTGTTACATTCGTTTGTGGTGCAAAATAATTGTTTAACTATGTAAAGGTGTGTTGCTTTTGTTTATGCTGCATTTGTTCAGCTATGTAAAGATGTGTTGCTCTTTCTTCTTGCCTGACTAAGGCACCTGATTGGTCTAATAAAAATCTGAACGGCCAATAGCTGGGTGGCAGAGGAGGGATAGGCGGGGCTGGTGGGCAGAGAGAAAAAGGAGCTGGCCAGCCTGCCGCAGAGGTCCAGTCAGCCAGACACGGAAGGAGCAGAAAAGCAGGACATACCGAATGAGAGAAAGGTAAAAAGCCCCGAGGCAAATGTAGATATGATGGGAGATGTCATTCTGTATATGTTTCTCATATTGGTTAATAAATAAAGCACTGTTGGCCAATAGGAAAGGAAGATAGGCGGGACTAGGAGACAGGGAGGATTCGAGGAATTAGTAGGGAGGAGTCAACATGTAGCAAGAGGAGAGAACAGAGGTCTTGGCCCACTCTCGGGTAAGATGAGACCATGTGGAAATACTTAGATTAATAGAAATGCGTTAATACTTAAGACAGAGCTAACCAATAAGAAACTAGTAACTGGCCAACAGCGTTATATCTAATACAGAGTCTCTGTGTGTTAATTGGGGCTGGTGTCGTGGTGGGTCCAGGCTGGCGGCAAAAACTACTCGTAACAGACGAATTAAAAAAACAAGTTAAATTAAGTTATAAGGGCTGGTGAGACAAGGATAAGCGAAAGGCTGAGCATTCATAATTAGTAGTAAGTCTCTGTGTCTTTATTTGGGAGCCGGTTGGCGGCCCAAAGAGAAAGCCTGCTACAGATGGCTTCCTTTAGCGTTAGGAATTCAGGAAATGAAAAATCAGCGTGACTCTTGAAACACATGCTCTGCCCGATATTTTCCTTGTTTCTCCAACATCCCCTCCTTTTTTGTCTCTTTCATACTGTTTAGCGGGTTGTTCCTCACACTGATTACACTGCCTTTAAAAACAAAACAGTAAGGATGATCAAACACCACCCCAGACTTGGTAAATGAACCTGAAGTGGGAGAGGCACCCACTGTGGGGAGTGAGCCAGTGATTGCCAAACTCTCCAGCTGGCTCGAGTGTGCTTCTAGGATTGAAAAGCCTGGTTCTCTGGCATGCTTCCTCAGCCCCGCCAGGATTCACTGTGACAAAGGGCTTTTAGCACATTAGCTTGCTTGTTGGAGATAGTAGTCTCCTGCTTTCCCAGATTTCTTCCAGTCAGCCATTTTTTGGGGGGGGATAAAAGTAACCCTGAAACTCAGGACATCGTTTTGTTATTCATTCAGGATGTGGCGAGCTTTGCAGTTTTGGTAGCAATTACCATGGCTGACACTGGACAACACCAGCATGTTAACTCATTTAGTCCCCAGGATAAGACTGCCACATCCATACCAGGAGGCAGAGGTTCAGGGAGATGGACTGGCTGACTTGCTCAGGGACTCCCAGACAACATGTGCTCATTTAATTACTGCTCTGTTTGACACAGTGACATACATGAAGTTGGTAAACTGAGGTGTGGGAAGGGACGTATCTCATTTGTATGAGGCATTGCCAACCTTCTTGAGCTGTGCATGCTTGCTTCAAATGTTTCAAACCGCTAGCCAGTTCTGGAGCAGAAAAAGAATGCCTCTTAACGCGCCATAAGAGAAGTAAGTAGCTGGTGAGACGGGTTTGAGGTTAAGAGCCTTTCCTGCTGTTACAGAGGACCTGGGTTTGGTTTCCAGCACCCACATTAGGCGGCTCACAACCACCCTGATCCTTACTCTGGGTGATCCAGTGCCCCCTTCTGGCCTCTGCAGGAAACTGCACAGGTGCACACACACACACACACACACACACACCCCATTTGAAAAAATGAAGTACCCAAGGAATGGAGGCTGCTTCATTGATGATGATAGCAACACACCTATATCAGGATGATACATATCCGTATGCATGCATTTTGAGTGTGTGTATGAATGTTGTTTTGGGAGTGAGCTTTTTGTTTTTTTAAACTTCAAAGAAACAGACAATTTTCTTTGTTTTTTGTGCCTCATTTCCCCTGCTACCCATGGGCTGTGACCAAGGTCATTATACTGTTTCTGTATTTTCCCTTACTTAAGTAACTGTTTTGTTACAGTTGCACATAGTTATAAGAAAGTGTCTTTTCTGTGGCTTCTATTAAAATATTATAGGTGAAGGGTTCTTAATTAATGCTTTAATAAAGAAACCAGCAATTAGGAGTTTACTGTGTTTTGTCTGAGTCTATTGGAGTATAATGGAAGCATGGTGTGTTTTAGAAAAGCTTTTCAAGCCATTATTTGATGTCGTAAATATAAAAAAAATTATTTGTTGATGTCAATACGAGATTATAATTTTATAAGCCATCACCGTTTATATGTACGTCTGTAAATTATGTCACTAATAATACAGTGTTAGATCAGTTTTGATTGTGTGGGTGTGCGCGCATGTGCACACGTGTGCCCGTGAACATGCCACCATGCATATGTGGGAGTCAGAAGGCAGCCTGGGAGTTGATTCCATTCTTTCATCATGTGGACACTGGGAATTGAACTCAGGTTTTCAGGCTTGGTGGTTACGGGCCATCTCAGTGGTCCCAATTTTGATTTTTAAATTTCATCTATAGATACTTTAAAACTGTTTAGGTAAAAAAAAAAAAAAAAGTGTATGTGTGACGTATATGTGTGTAGACCCAGGCACATACAGCAGTCAGCTAGCTGTCCCTCAAGTGAGCAAGGACGCTGCTGTCTCCACCTGCCACAATGCTGGGGTTAGAGACGCACCTCCCATCCCTCCTTAGGAATGCTGGCATTAGAGATGTACTATGGTGCTGTGCCCATCTTTATGTAGGTGCTGGGGACTCAAGCTTAATTCTTCATACTGCATGGCTGAGCAGAACCATCTGCTCAGCCCTGCAGATGCATTTAAATGCCTAGTAATTTAAGTCAAAGTCTGTCAATAAAATATTCTTATCTTTATCATTTGAACTGTGGTAGGTAGTCTAATGATGTTTGGAGCCTTGACCGTAAGCCTACTACCCAATAGCACCAATGCATATTTATAAATTGCTTAGTTTTTGTTTGTTTCTGTTAAAGGTGGCAAGTTTCAATGATTTTCTAGATCCTAGGGCAATTTGGTTCCCAGTCAGTCGTTGGAGTGTGTGCGGTGGGCGCTGACGAGGATCGGGGGGCAGAGGGTTTCAGTTTGTGATTTATCAGCTCTTCCCTGTTGATAATTTAAAGGTTTTCTCTGGGATTCCATCTTTATGTGCATGCTCAGAGCTGTTTTGTAAGTGGTCTAATACCTGAAGACTGTCCTGGGTGTGTGGCTTCTGTAAGTTTGTAACCTTAGTGCTTATTTTGCAGTCTTAGCCCTGCGGTCACAGCAAGTGTCCCCAGACCTTTGGTCATGGAAGCTTGTCCCTTACCAGGTTAAGTGTTTGTTGTGTGTTGGGGGTTATTCTCTGCCTTTATGGGAAGCATACATTTCTAGAGCTGATGACCAGGTTATGTGGCTGTTCTTTCTTAGGTGGGAGGGAAGGTTGAGACAGGATTGTTGAGGCCAGGGTGGCTCCTCCTGCCTCAGTCATCCTAAAGCTGGGATTGCAGGTATGTGTCACCATGCCATGTGCCCATCTGGGACGCCATTCAAGTTATTGGTCTCAGGCTTCTACTTCTGTCTTCAGATTATTAATAGATCCAGGAAACTTTTTTTTTCCTATTACGAAAACTGAGCTACTCTTAGATAAATCTCAATTTAAAGTTTTACAAAGGTGAACACACCAGCCACAGCCGAGTTTCCCTCTGTCTCAGGGACAGTCATACCCAGTGGCTGGTAAACTACGCTGACCTCTTTGTCACCTTACGTCATCGTTCCAAACTTCATAGGCTCAACTGCGATAGGCCTAAAAATGTCATTTTTACTAAAATATGAGCTTGGGGGTTCATGTTACTTTGTGAGCACACTTCCGCACATATCTGGGAATCTGCACGCTTACCTTGGTGAAATGAAGGTTTTCCGTTTCTATCTGATTATGTCACCCAGGTGGATAGTGTTGGGAGGGACGACAGGCGCCTTAGTGCTCTCACAAGGCAAGTGCTAGGAGAGCTCACTTCTGGCAGACCTGTGGGTCTTCCTAATGGCTCAGGCAGAGCTGAAGGTCAGTGTGGTGGGCTTACATGTGCAGAGACTGGGAAGCAAAAGCCCTTTGGTGGTGGTCTCTCCACTCCGCTGAACTTTGTGAAGATTTACCGGGGTCAGCTGAGTTCACAGGTTCTCCCACAGCAAACTTTTGAGAGTTGTAATGTTGCTTTCTTTTCTTTTTTTCTCCTTTTAGCAATAGGCGAATATGAAGACCTTCGAGCAGAGAACCAGAAAACAAAGGAGAAGGTTCGTACTGTACCCCTCCCCTTCTTTACAAGCTTGAATGCCTAGGCAGCATATTGCCTTGTTCCGCCACCAATTTCAGTTAAGTGTGAATGAGAGAGGGTTTTTTTGTTTTTTTTTTTTTTCTTTTAAATCTTTTCTCTTGCATGTGTGGGTCAAGCTAATATCAACTCCAGTCTCCCAGTGGTAAGAATGGCAGGCATGCCACAGTAGGCATAGCCCTGGGAGAATAAATATGCAGCTAAATGTGTAGCAAGGCACTATGCCAAGCCACACAAGTCCTCAAGAGGTGTGCTTTCTCCCAGTAGTCACACTTGGAATGCTGGTGATCGACTCAAATGCCGGAGACATTTGCTTCTAGCACCCAGGCTTGTTGGGGCCTGCAGGGACCTGGGCTTTGGTAATCTACACACCTTTGTGTGTTTGCTTCTGCTGTCTGTGTGAATAATGAACCAGAAGTTGAAAAACACCCAGTGTGAGTACAGGGGAAGCGTGATGAATATTTTCACAGGATACGGAAGTTTTGTTTTGAACTATGAAATAAATGAATTCTGTTTGCTTTTGTAATCTGTGTTCCTTTTTGTCTCCAAAAATGTTTACTGAAGGTCTGTGAGTATTCCCACGTATGGGAGAGCTTCAGGACTGTAAGCCTACCACTTGAGAGGTTACAGCGGGAGGATTGCCATGAGTTTGAGGCTAGCCTGGGCTGCAGACTAAGATCCTGTATCAGAGAGCAGACAGAGATTTGTAACATGCTCATGCCTGTATGTGCATGTGTATCTCTTTTCCTTCCTGTCAACCAAGGGGAAAAGTAAAAAAGAATAGAAAACAAAAAATAGAGGAACACAGACTATGAATTTGTTTTAAAACATGAATGAAAATTATACATACAAATTTAAAAGGTCAATATATTTTTTTAATTACAATCACTAAATAAAGTACTTTCATCAAATAAGATAGTCACAATGCTTTTGAAAACGTATCCCTGGCAGAAAATAAATAAATAAAGTAGCCTGAGGTGTTTTTAAGTAAGAATGAGACGATGATGCCTCATCTTCCTAACTTTAGAACAGCATTTAGTAGGCAGCCAACTAGTTATAGGAATCTGTATCATATTTGGACTTAATTTATTGAGCTCTTAAGTATCATATTAGACTTATTTAGTCATTAAATTTGCCAGCCACCTAGGCATAGCTTGACTGGTGGTAGTAATGGCAAGTACTTTAGCTCACATACAATTACATCTGCTGTTTAGATCATTATTTTAAGTCTAGTTTTTAAGGCTTTTAACAGTATTTATTTTATCTTGATCATATGCGTGGTGTGCCTCTATGTGGGTAGGTATGTGCATGTGAGTACAGGTGTCCGAGGAGGCCAGCAGAGGAGTTCTGGTGTTTGTAAGGCATCCAGTGTGAATGCTGGGACCCGAACTGGAGTCCTCTGTAAGAGCCACAAGTGTCTTCAAACACTGGGCTCGTTCTGCTCCCCCCTTCCTTGTGCTTTATAGATTCATCTTTGGAGGTCTCTGAAGTCTTGGTTCCTTTCCTCTTTCAGGCTACCGAGGGAATGGTAGGAGATGGGGGTTATTTTAAAGAATCCATTCGAAAAGGGAACCGATACACACAACTTTCTAAGGCAAGAAGGCCATGGATAAGTAGTTTGAAAAGAAGATTTTTAGTTCTGTAACCGTAACTCCCCCAAACACAGAAGTCCCAGGGATGTAAAGTAGTGCAGAGGGGGGTGTGCTTAGGCCGTGGGCAGTGGCATCTCACAATTTTAAAGTTAATTTCCTGGGGATGATCAGACTTCGGCTCCAGGAGGAGGTCGATGGAGTGTCTGCGTTGGGCCTGCTTTTGGGCTCTCAGGGAGGGGTTCATGCAGGAGGATGGTTTAACCTCATCCAAATATGTGAGGTAATGAAGCAGAGTGGCTCAGCAGGTTAAAACACTGAGTTTGATCACCGGAATCCACGGTAGAAGGTGAAGGCTGACTCATCAAAGTTGCCTCCTGATCTCCACTGTGGCACATGCACGCATGTACACATACATGTGCCGGACACACATAGTTAGAATAAGTGAAAAGCATGTTTAAGTAAGAGAGGAGGAGAGACAGAAACCTGGTGTGTCTCCATGTAGCAGAGGACGGAAGAGAAGGAAAACCCTGCAACAGAGGAAGGAGATTGCATGTTTTGTTTTCTCTTTTCTGTTTCTTAGTCCATGATTATCTATAGACCTGGAAATGCCCTTAAAAAAAAAAAAAAAAAAAAAAAAAACAAAAGTGTTCTGTAAACACCTGCTCTCCCTGTTGACATGACCATAGTTGTTTAACTCAGAGCCACTTTCTTCCGTGGGGTTTGCAGAGAACTGTCTGTTGTGCACATGGGATTATAGGTTGGTTAAAAGACGGACTGGAAATGACCTCGGCCCGGTACACAGTTTACTTCTTCTCCAGGCGGAAGATGGCCTGACACATTTGCAGCATCTGTAGGCGTTATTGACCTGTTTCTGTCCTAATTCTTTAAAAATAACTATTAGCAGGGACGAGAAGAAAGGGAATGAAAGCAGTATGGAATGCTGTGCGTGTGGAAAAACAAAGAGGTGTGAGTGGCTTTAGATCTACCCTGCTCTGTTTACCTTCTATTAAAAGACTGGCTTGCTTATTACTGCAGTTTCTTCCCCCAAGGTGCGGGTTGTTACAAAGGAGAGAAGCATATAATAAAAGCCTTTTATACGACATAGAATGAGTAAAAGCAGCTTTAGTTCCGGAGGCGGCAAATGGAGGACACTGTTTTTTTTTTTTTTCCTAGGAAAGCACTTTCTTGTGCCTGGCTCCCTGAGCTTTTTCCAGTCTACATCAACAAATACAGACGGCCATCTTTCCTCTGTGGGGTCCCAGCCTCGAGTTAAATTAAACCCATTGTGGGCAGTCATTGGAAGAATTCCTTTTCCTCATAGTTGGTTCAGTGTAGGGAAATTTGGCAAAATAGAGGGAGGAGTTTTAAAAAAAAAAAAGGCAAGGTATTTTACTCCCGACGACTGTGTCTCTGCAAGTTTATTTGTCCTTGTGGCCAGGCCAGAGACCATGATGGGGACAGACAGCAGATCTGGTTCTTCCGGATGGAACCTTCTGGTGGATGCTGCAGTGTCCCTATGGATGTAGGTTCGCAGTAGGCAGGAACTCAAAGTCTCCTTACTTAGAGACTGTTATGGGATATTTCTGACCTCTTGTCTCCATAATGAAGCAGTTCAGACTATTTTAGCTTCCTTTTACTCAAGCAAACATAAGGACTTGAGGCGCAGCGAGTTTCCTGAGAACCTACAGGTAATTAGTGACAGAGTCTGGATGTAAACCTGGGTCTTATGCCCTCCATGCTTCTTTTGCAAGCAGGGAAACTTAAGAGTATATCGCCTCTTTCCACAAAGACCCGAGTTTTATTTTAATAAGTGTGTGCGTATGTGTGTACCCGCAAGTAAGCATTTGCACACGCGTGTGTGAGGAAGTCAGAGAACAACCTCAGGTGTGATCTGTTTGGTACTGTCTGTTTTTGGTTTGAGACATGCTCTCTCATTGGCTTTGAAACGTCACAAAGTAGGCTAGGCTAGCGGGCCAGCAAGCCCCAGGGATCCACTAGTCATTGATGTGTGCCACCATGCCCAAATTTTTGCAAAATCTGGGTTCTGGGGATAAAACTCAGGTCCACGCATTTGTGCAGCAAACACTTTCCTGACCGAACATCTCTCTAGCTATGTTTTTAATATTAATGTATGAATTTTCCACAATGGATTAAATTACAAGATGCTATACTTTTTCTGGGTTATGACTATACCATCAGTTGGTTTGTATTGAAAAGCTGAAATTTAAGTATCAAATCAATCCTTTATTAGAATGCATTCACATATGTATGTGTGGACATACAAATCCTGGCACCATGCATTCAAAGAATAGAAATAAGAGACTTAGGGGTGGGCCGGTGGGGTTTTGTTGCTTTATTTATTTATTTATTTGGTGTGTGTGTGTATGCCATAGGACATGTGTGGAGGTCAGATGATATCTTGCTGGAGTCAGCTGGGGTTCTCTTTCTACCATTTGGGCCCAGGTCATCAGGCTAAGAGGCAATTGCTCTATCCTGATGAGCCGTCTTCCCAATTCTGGACTAGTATTTTAACTTTTTTTTTTGTTTTGTTTTGTTTGTTTGTTTTTTAATACGTAGCCCTTTCGCCCACTTTGGCAATGGCAATGGGTGTTGGCCGTTTTGTGGATTTTATATAAGTCTTTGAAGATGGAATCAGAATTTGTTTGAGTTTGTAAGGAACGTGACTGAAGAAAAACCCTTTGGCCAAATGCCTTCTGGCCACCAAAAACATAAAGGAAAATAGATGAGGTTTTGCCTTCCAGTAAAACCACTAAGGAGGGGCCACAAATAGCTGTGACACTGCCATTGTTGTTGTGTGACTCTGCAGCTTCCTCGGGATGAGAAAAGACAAACAGAAATGGCCCCTGCTTTTTCCCACGTGCAAACTTTTAGTCTCTTTTAACAACAGATTTAAATGTCATTTATCTCTAAGCCTTCTTCCTCTAGCTCTCTTGCAAGTAGAATTTTTTTTTTTGTAAGAAGCCATCTGTATATTCCTTTGTGCTCGTCACATCCATCAAGAGAATTTATTATTATCTCCACACTAAATAGGAAAGAAGCAAGTCTTGTGGGTTCTAATAAAACATAAAAACCCCGAGACTGTTTATGTATGTCTTCTGGTCTTTTGCCCGAGGGACTATGAGGACTGTAAGCGGGACTATGAAATGGCCTCTATTTGTCTCGATTATTTTTGCCCATTTTCCAAATGGCATTGCAAGCAAGCAGTATGTGGGGGAAAGGCAGAGGACCTATCACGTTGGTGTTAACAAACTCTCTAAATCTGTATTTGGGGCACACAAAAATAGATGAGTGTGTATTTTGGGATCAGCTGAACAAAACATCTTCTTTAGTGTGTATGGCCATCACCATATTGAAATGCCAGTCACCTGCTGCTATCGAAGTACCGTCTCTTGTAACTTGCTCGAAATCTTTGTCATAACCGATTAGGGTTGGATTTTTTTCTTTCTTTCTTTCTTTCTTTCTTTCTTTCTTTCTTTCTTTCTTTCTTTCTTTTTTTTTCTTTCCCTTTCCTATGGGGCTGAATGGTATGACATTCATACTTCTCAGGGAGTTGGTGATGTGTGTGTGTGTGTAGAGAGAGAGAAGGAAATCTGTATAATAGAAGAATGTCTACCATTAAATAGTATTTGTGTTTAATATTATGTTCAGAGATTGAGTTTTGAAATGCATAAATGTTTAAGTGGCTGAGCAGAAGTCGGTTGGGTGAGCTGCTGTCACCGCGCATCAGACAGCTCTGTCAGCCTGCCAGGAACAATGAATGAAAAGAGCCAGGCAGACGCTTCCCCAAGACTTGTCTCAAGAAGCAAGATATACGATAGTGTTTGCATCTTGGCTCGGTTGTCTATTGTTACAATTTCATCCTCTCGTGTAATATTCAGAGGTGAAGGTCCCAAGTATATTATTTATTTATTTATTTTTTTTTAAAAAAAATCAATACAGACGCCACTCTAAAGAGCAAGATCTGCATCCATTATGCTAACTGTTCATGCATAATACATCCACATACATGTGGCTTCTTTGAGACGGAGTGGCAAGTGGTTGTGCCAGAGAAAAAGTAATTACTTAGCAGTTTGAAAGTGAAAATGAGTCTCTCATTAACAGCAATCTATCCAGAAACAAAGAGCGAGGGTCTCAGTTCTGATGACATGTGTTTCCATCTCACACACAATACCCCGACTTTGGAGACTGCTGCACGACAGCTTGGGGGGGGGGCGCACACTCCTCCTTTATCGCCTGTGAAAATTGGAGGGAAAGAACTTTTGCATTGGAAGAAAAGAAGAACTCCAAAGAGGGATCCCATGTAGAGGGATGATTAGATGTCCTGAAGGGCAAGCCTATATAGATCCAGAGAGCGCAGGCCCGGGAAGCCAGACTTACCTAGACGGAACAACAGACTTGATGCTCCTCTCGCTACCCCACCGAAGATTCTAAAGCGGGCACCGATGTCTGGTTCTGGCTCTATAAGTTTCCATTTTAAAATAAATGGTGTGACTGGGACGTAAGAGGAATGAACTTCTGCAAAAGCTGGTGTGGGGGCTAAACCTTGCTGCTGGCGGTGTAACTGCCCGGATTCTGTCTCCACAAGTCTGCAGTCTTCCTGTCTTATAGTTCATGTCCTTGGTCCTTATACCCTGCTCTTCTCATTGTTCGTTTTTGTGAAACTACAGAATCTAGGCTGCTCCCTACCAGGTCCCTGTTGGTGTTAAGTACGGTGTCTGGCACTGGACCTAGTTTTGTCCGGTGCACAGAAATATCCAGTGGTCCAGTGGTTCCAGGACACAATTGCTCAGAATTCCACCTCAGTCAACGGTCATCTGTTGTCTTGTATCCTCAAGGTGTGTGGAGACGGTGTGTGGGCTCCAAACTGTCCTTTCTACTAGCTGACCATTCAGTTGCATGTGTATGCCCAGATGATAAGATATTAGTGGAAATCAGACACAATTTGGAATGCTGAGGTTCTCATTGCATGAATCACAGACACACACAGCAGATTATAAATCTTCTCCACATCAGTTCAGAGCTTCTACTGAACCCAGATAAAGAAATGTCGACAGTGTTGGCTGATGGGTAGCTGGGGAGCTGGGAAGGTGCCAGTTCATGCTGGAAGGACAAACCACTGCAGCCCAGTCGACCGCTGTTCTCAGATCCAGGTGAGATTTCACCGGCTGAGATAGCCTTAATGACGGAGTCTGGAAATTCGCCTGGGTTTCTCACACAAAAGGCCTTCGAAACCACCAAAACCAACCTCCAGTCAACCTGCTACTTTCTTAAGAGTCAAAGCAGCGTCTGCAGACTAGCTGGAATTTTCTTCAGTTTGCTTAAAGCAACCAGCACTCAGGCCGCTGGGTTCAGCTCCAGCCTTGAGCTGTTGAGTGATGTCGTCCAAAGAACATCTGTTGCTATTACAAAGTCTCCATGAGCAATTCTCAGCACAAAAAAGAAGTCTTTACAGATGGCACAGCTGCAGGGGCAGGGCAGAAGAGAGGGTGGGATGGATGGGGGTGTTTCTGTGTCACGAAGATGAAACTTCGGCGTTCCCTGTAACGTCTCCGTGTTGGTGGATGGGGAGAAAGGTGGCCGGATGTCTCTGGCTTCCCCTGAGATGATGTCATAAGTGGGTGTTTGCATTCTTGCTTGGTACACCATCAGTTCTGGCGTGGGCTCACTAAGCTGTGTTTGCCGAGTGTGTAACCCCCTCCCACCCTTTCAGCCTTTCAACGTAGCAGATGGTAAATTCAGTGGCTGCCAGTTCTATCATAATGTGGTGGCAGAAAATAGAAAGCAAAGCCACACGAAGACCCCGAGACAGAGCACAGCTGGGGTTGGGGAGACAGATTGTGACTGCGTTGACAACTAAAGGTTATCGTTTGCCGGACTCTGTAGAATCCTTCCCCTGCACCCTGGACTGAGATCTGTTGTTATTAATCAGAGTGTCCACCTGGGTCTTAAGAGCAGTGAGCGTTGGCTTCAAGTCTCCCCTCTGGACAGCTGGAGCGGGCCTGCCCGTGAAGGCCACGTATTATTTCTAACCAGGAAATGGGAGGCTTGTTGGTAGTTGGTGTCTGACTAGGTAGAGCTCTGAGCGCCGATCCCTTTTCCCATTCTCGTCAAGTTTCAGTGAAAACTGAGCACATAAGTGGGGACCGGATACACCTTTGATTACTTTAAACGGAATTCTGAGAGACAGACTGGGAGCCTCAAATGACTTGAGGTTATAGCATCACCCTGGAGCACCGTCTCGTGATGAAGAATCTTCTTCTGAGGACCTTGTACTTGCAGAAAGGATAGATGGTGATATCCGCTGGCCCATCAGAAAGGAAGCGCTAAGGAAAGCCACTCCTCAGGCTTCCCCCTTCTGTCTCCTGAGGCCACGCCCACGGGGTATGTGGCCATCTTACAAGTTCACTGTAAGACCTCTACAGAAATACTCAGTGAGAAAGTAAACACCAGCCACGCTGCCCTAGGTGATCATGACTGGAGTTCTCTGGTTTCATCAGAAATTTGGGTTCTATTTGTGTCTCCTGTTGTGCATTGTTGGAGTGGGCTGGGCAGCCTGGCAGGAGTCTGGTGGGAGGAGACAGTTACAGAAAGTAAGAGGAACATTCCAGACGCAGCTGGCTGGCAGTGTTGCAGTTGCTGGTTGTATGGTTCCAGAAACTGTGAGACAGGTGGTTTGTGTTTTACAGAGGGTGGGTTCCCACAGGGAAACCCTGAACAGGGTGGGTGTCTTCGGATGAAAAGAATCTTTGGTCCAACCCGGCTCATTCACGGGGAGAGAGGGCCACGCTGGATTCTGATGGTCAGCCCTGTGCACCTGTTACATGTGTGGTGTCCCCTTAATGGGTGTATCCTGCAGACAGAGGTGTGTGTGTGTGTGTGTGTGTGTGTGTGTGTGTGTGTGTGTGTGTGTAGCATCTGAGTGTGCAGGTGCCTACATACTGACACGGAGGAAGCAGAGACTATCAGGGGTCACGCTCTGTCACTCTCCTCCAGCTCTTCCAGAGTCTCCATCCTCTGATACCCAGCTTTTGCATGGATGCTGAGAATTTGAACTGGGATCCTCAAGCTTGCCTAGCCAGCATTCTTATCTAACACCAAGTCATCTCCCTACCTAACCCAAGACTGGCTTTGACAGCTCAGTGGTTCTTTTGTGGAGCTAGCCATATGTATTCTCTCTCTCTTTTTTTTTTAAAGATTTATTTTTAAGATTTATTTATCATGTATAGTATTCTGTCAGCATGTATGTTTGCACACCAGAAGAGGGCACCAGATCTCATTATAGATGGTTGTAAGCCACCATGTGGTTGCTGGGAATTGAACTCAGGACTTCTGTAAGAACAGCCAGTGCTCTTAACCTCTGAGCCATCTCTCCAGCCCCCCATATGTATTCTCTTAAAGGAGGAATTTGTTTTAACTAAGGATAGTCAATTGGTTGCCAAGGGGATAATGAGTAATGAATGACTTCTTGTCTTAGGAAGTCCTAGAAACTCAGCTGGGTTAAAAAAAAAACAAAAAAAACAAAAACAACAAAAACAAAAAAACAAAAACAAAAAAAAAAAAAAAACGCGTGCATCTCCTGTTGTGTGAGTAGTATCAACATCAGTAGTATTGGGGCTGTGAAAAGATTTTTAAAATTCATTTTATTTTTAATTGTGTTTAAGTAGTACCCTGGGAGGCCAGGAGAGGCCACCAGGTCTCCCTGGAACTGGAGTTAGTCACGTGTGATCTGCATGGCATGGGTGCTGGGAACTGGCCCGGGGTCTTCTGCAGTAGCAGCATGCTCTCACAGCTGCTGAGCTGCTTCTCCAGCTCCCCCCCCCCAAATATTGTGTCTGGGAAAATAAAAAAAGGAAAGGCTAATGAGTGCCACTGCTGTGTGTAAGCTTATTTTTGCTTCTTGCCCTGTCACAGTCAAATTTCATCAGATAAATTTAACATTTTTTTCTGCTTTTCATTTCAGTGTGACAAGATTAGGCAAGAACGAGATGAAGCTGTTAAAAAGCTGGAAGAGTTTCAGAAAAGTACGTGAGCCTTTCTAGTGGGGGTGGTGATCACTTGGCTCTGGGGATTGTGTGAGTACACGGACACCAAGCTAGGTGCTTGGTCATGTTGTCAAGGGAAAAACCCTCCCATTTGGGGGGGTGGTGGGAAGAGCCAAAAAGCAATGGGATAAGCATTAATATTCTATAAATGCCTTATAAAGATTTAAGGTCGTGGCAAGAGAAGTTCGCTACGGGAAAATATCAAAGTAAAACAAAATTCGCTTGTTACTTAGACTCCTTGTGAAAAGCCAAAGTTAGTATTTTATTTTCTATCCTAAGTGGCCGTCCCTTTATGAAATATGTGTTTCTCGAAAAAGTGCATGCTTTAGATTCCAGTTCATAGCCTTTTTTCAGTAAACAGTGTATCTTTGTGTGTCACTAGAAGTACAGGTCAGTTCTAACTACTGTCTTCTTTAGTCTGTAGTATGTAATGCACACGTAAGTATATAAACATTACAAAGTCCTCTATCCTTCCATGTCTTCTAAGGGCCAACCCTCACCACAGCTGTATACGCAGTCTGTCATTTCGTAGTCTTATGTTTTTGTTTGTGCCATATGTGTGCCATGAAATAATATTATAATGTAACTATATGAAGTTTTTTGTTTTTGGTGCTTAAGGTATCATTTGTCCTATATTGCTATACATAGCTGTGATTCGTTTTCATTACACTGTAGTGTGTTATACAAATATGTCATGATTTGTTGTTACTGGACCCTGCGTAGTTTTGGGCAGCTCCGTCTTACACACAATATTAGCGACTATATATAATACGTCACCTATGTAGTAATATGGTGCTATAACTTTGTTCTCTCATCACTATTTCTATATTTGGGGAGGGGGCAGGGTTTTGAGTCAGTTCCCCTGTGTGACAGCCCTGGCTATTCTGGAACTTGCTTTGTAGACCAGGCTGGCTCATGTGCTTGCCTTTGCCTCCTGAGTTCCGGGATCAAAGGTGTGTGCCACCACTGCCCTGATGATTGTTTCTGTTTGTTTGTTTTTTAATTTTGTTTTATTGGCTTTTCAGGGTTTCTCTGTATTGCTTTTGGAGCCTGTCCTGGAACTAGTTTTTGTAGACCAGGCTGGTCTCAAACTCACAGAGATCCTCCTGCCTCTGCCTCCCAAGTGCTGGGATTAAAGTTGTGCGCCACCACCGCCCTGAAGATTGTTTCTGTTTTTTTAAACTACTATCAATAACACTCGGCAGATACTCACGTGTTTATAAAATCTGATTAGTTTCTTAGATTAGTTCAAGGAAAAGGAATTATGCCAGGGATTTATGCAGGGGATTTGGGTATATAGCTACCAAACTTCACTACATATTTGTCAATATGCTCTAACAGGCGAGGTCTTATTTCAAGTGTTCTAAATACAGGATGGAGATAGATGCAGTTGGGTAGTATTGCACCTGCCTAGCACTTGGGGAGGCCCTGGTGTGAGTCTATCAGTCAATCAGTCCGAGGAAGGAGACTTCAGGAGGCAATGAGTATGTCGGTGGCCTCCATGTTGGCAATGGTTTCACGAAGGAATGTTTATACCCCACTGATCACACTGTGCATATTAAGTATATAAACTACTTACACAGCACTTAGACTTCAGTGAAATGGTTAAGAGCAAAGAGCAGTTGGAGTGTTTGAAACTGCTCTCATTCAGTTGTGTCCTTAGAGAAGCAATAATAGTTTTCTTCAGATTTTTACTGTTATTTTTTTTTTAATGTGACATGAATCTGTTATTTATCCAATAAGTCAGAACATAGCTGATCAGATCCAAAAAGTGTCACACGGGGGAATATGTCATGGGCTAAGAACCAGACATTGCAAGAAAATAATCCTCTCCCTTGCAAGCTGGACCTTTCAAGATCATTCTGCAGAAATTCTGAAGCCAGGTAACAGGTATTGTCAGAGTCTGCACTCGAGGAGACATTTTACCCTTCTCAAAAATGAAAAACAAACAAACAAAACAGTAAAATGCAGTGGTCAAACCCCAGCAGCCAGCTCTATTTCATCATCCGAGTACAACAAAGCACAGGGCAATCTTGTGGGTATCACTGTCTGTGGAGGACGGAGACTACGACAGAAATGCGTCTTGTCTGTGGATGCACGGACGACTCCCTCTCATGTCCTCACCCTATCATGCAGGGCCGATGGCATCCGAATGAGTGTACTTGGAAAGCACAAGCCCATGAGTATTGGGGCTAGTTTGTGTGCTTGGATTGTTGAGGGTGGAGCGGTGTGCTGTGTGCAATGGACTGGTTCAGGTTTCTTATGGTTCAGTTTACCACAACATGTTTTGATACAGGAAGGTGGTAGGGATTTGCCTCCTGTGTTCAGTAAGAATGGAAACAACTTTCTCAAGTTGCTTTCGCCTACCATGCCCCTTCAGGAGCGGCTTTTTCCTCTGAATATGCCGATCATTCTACAAGAACTCAGATTAGGACCTGAGAGGACTCATTGAAATGGTAACACAATAGTCGCTATTGTGAGGTGCATTTAGTTTTTACTTTTATTAACCCTGGTTTAGTTGAAGTCTGAATGTCCGGAAGTCAGAATGTGAATTCTTTAAAGAATTATCTTTTGTACACTAATTGTAAGTGTACACATGTGGAGGTCACTCAGGTCATCAAGAATGGTGACAAGCTCCTTTACCCACTGGCCCATCATCCTGCTGACCCCAATGTGAATTCCTTTTTTATTTTTCCTCATTTTTTTTTTTTGAGACAGAGTTTCCCTGTGTAACAGTCTTGACAGTCCCAGACTTTGTTGACCAGGCTGACCTTGAACTCACAGAGATCTTCCAGCTCCTCTTCCCAAACACTGGCATCAAAGGCAGGTGTGCACCACCACCACCACTCAGCCAAATGTGAATTCTTTACTCAGTCTTGAGGAGAGAGAATGGGAATAGTGAAGTATGATTTTTGAGGGTTAGGGATGTGTTGCAGTATCTCATTTTAGGCAAGGGGAGTGCTCACCTGGAGTGCTCAGTTGTAGGTTTGGTTTTCTAGAGCCACATTAAAAACTAGCCGTGGTGGCTTATGCCTGCAATCCCAGCACTCGGGGAGGCAGAAGGGCTGCAAGTTCAAGGTCACCCTTGGCTATTTGGTAGAGTTTGAAGCCATCCTATTTCAAGACTCTACCTCAAAGCCAAAGAAAGAGGATTTTATTTCTTTTAAAAGCTGAATGGAGATAAATAGTTCATGGCTTTGAACAGAGGGCAGAATTTGAGATCTGGAAGGGAGCATTCTTCTGGGAAGGAGCCCATGTAGCCTTGAACAGCTTTCTGCGTTAGTAAATCTGGGGTGAATTGCCTTGTTTCTTGAGGATGAAGTGAGAAAAATGTGCATAAGAGAGCTAACCCTGGGCACTAGGGTGGCAGAGGCCAGCCTGGTCCACAGAGTGAGTTCCAGGACAAGCAGGGCGACCCAGAGAAACCCTGTCTCAAAAAACAAAACAAAATAAACAAGAAAAGGAAAGAAACTCCCTCTCCCCCCCCCCCTCCAGTGAGCTAGGATTCAGTAAGTACTCAATAAATGCTGCCATGGCCAATCGGGCTGCTGGGGCTGCCGGGTGAAGTCCTATTGTTAACCCTAGAATGTGGGGATTCTGGGGCTGTATGGATTTGCTTGGCTGCTCTGAATCTCCTCTACCATGCTTACCCACAAGGTCTACCTCTCAAAATGTGGGAAGATCTGCCCACTGAGGCTTAGGTAAGGGCTCAGGCTTTGCTTAGCCTAGCTTGGCTTTCCTTTCCTAGGGTAAATGCAACTCTGGCCATGGCCGCATGTCCGTCACTGGCCCCTCTGCCAGCTCCCCTTAGCCCCCGAGTTTCTCTACACAAAGAGGGAGGCCGTGTGTCCACAGTAAAGTCCCTTCATGTGTTTGAGGTTGCAGTGGTAGACCCTGAGTTATGATTAAGGCTGCACGTGCTTTCCCACACTAGAGCCTGCTTGGTTCATTTTGTGCCGCATGAAAGCCTGTCTGGGAGCCGAGCCCTTTGGGAGAATGCTTGGCTTGTATGTGGGAGACCCTGGGTTTGATCCTGAAAACCGTATGGAGTCAGGCATGGTGTGCATATGTATAATCTAAGCACCCAGGAGGTGGAGGCAGCTGCATCAGGGCTTAAGTTCATCTTTGGCTACACAGTGAGTTTGGAACCCATACAAGAACAGAACAGAATGGGAGCAGGAGCAGCAGCAGCAGCAGCAGCAGCAGCCCACCGATGATAGCAGTAGCAACGACAAGGATCTTTTTTAAGCAATCTGATATTGAAGAAAACAGTGTTGTGTTCAGGGCCTGTGCTCCAAAGAGCCTGTGTGTGTTGCCCCTATTGTGAGAGGTGGGGCATGAGGCCTTGCCAAGCAGCAAGATCTTTGGAGCGGACAGCCTCAATTGTAGCAAGTGTTAAAAGGACCATGGAAAACTGGAGTGTCCTAGATTGGGTCTACCTGGGCCTTATCAGTCAGAGCTGCACTTGAAAAGGGTTTATTTTTACCTCTCTGGGTCCCAGTGTTCTCAGATAAAATGCCAGGATAGCATCTACTTTGTAGGGATGGTTCTGAGAACTCATGGGAACACACATCTTAGGACAAGGCTAGGCACAGCCCGGCTCAGTGAATGATAAGCATTTCTGCAGCAGACCTGGTCTTCACCTTTCCAACCGAAGGACCTACTTTGTAGGTAGTGTTGCTCTAAGTGCAAGAGAGCCAGACATACATGAACTGAAATCCATGTTTTATAGCTGTGTGTGGTGGTGCATGCCCATGATTCCATGACTCTAAAGCAGAGACAAGAGAGAGGTCTACAGAGCAAATTCCAGGGCTTTTTAATAATAATAATAATAATAATAATAATAATAATAATAATAATAAAATCCTGTTTTACTAAAGCACATATTTTGTAGAAGACAAATATTTTGTTTAGTGGACCCCCCCAAACCCTACAATGTGATACTCTCTCAGGTGCTTACACATAAGAGTACACTATCCTGAAGTCATAGATGAATAGACACAAACTTTGTTAATTCAACTAGACTATAGAAATAAGTCAATAGACTTTATTATACATGCGAGTTCCAGAAGCCTTTGAGATGAGGTCTCGTGTGTCTCAGTCTGGCCTTCAACTCCTTGAAGCAGAGAAAGACCTTGATTTCTGCTCTTTCCGCCTCGTAAGAGCAGGATTGACGTCATGTACCAGCCCCCCCCCAGCATGCACAGTGCTAGATGCTGGAGGTGGGGATCCAGAGCAGACACTATCCACGGAGCCACGTCCCCAGACTTTAAAGGTTTTTCTTATTGGAAAAATTAGAAGATAGATAGTAACATGAGCCTCTCGTATCCATGATCTGGCAGTTGTTAACTTAATTCCTTATTGCTCACATTTTCCTGAGGGCATTACAATGAAGCCAAGGTTAGTCTTTGTATTGCTATAAAATTTACTGGCGATAGATATTTTATTATGAATTTTTGTTTGTTTCTAAAGCACAGCTACAATCTTAGGGCCCCTTTCTTATCTATGTGTCTTCCTTCCTTCCTTCCTTCCTTTCTTTTTTTATTGTTGTTTTCTTGAGACAGGCTCTCCCTATGTAGTCCTTGCTGGCCTGGAAATTACTGGTATAGATTAGCTGGCCCTAAACTCAGAGATCTGCCTGCATCTGCTTCCTGAGTGCTGGAGTTGAAGGTACATGTCACTGTGCCCGACCTGTTTTTTTCTTTGTTAAACATTGGTTCTTACAAAAATGGTAAAGCATTCAGTGATCATAGATACGAGAAAAATCCCTAATGTTTTTCAAAACCTGGATTCTTTCCAAAAGGATGAATACGGCCGGGTCAGATTGCTCAGTGGATAAAGGTGCATGCTTCCAACCCCAAAGACCTGAGGTCAATCTCAGGACTTGCATTGCACAAGAGAAACAACTCTAGCAAGTCGTCCTCTGACCTCTACAGTGCACTGTGGTCACACACACACACACACACACACACACACACACACACACACACACGTATACTCATGCATAAATATAGCAGAATTAGAACAAAGTGGGGGGAAATACATTCATACTTTGGAATTAGCTTTGCTTTTCTATTGTGTGTCGTGTGTGACTTTGGGATTTGGGAACAAGGCCCTCCATCTGACAGATGTAAATGGCCCCTTGTTGTATATTTTTCTTATGAACCCAGGGAGTTGATAAACAGATGTCCATGCCATCAGTTTGCACTGGATGCAGTTTCTCAAAGTTACATGCGATGCGGCGCAGTTTAAAATGTTCTGCACTGTCCCTTCCCTGAGAGAGAAACCCCCTCCCCCATCAGAGTGTACTCTGGTGTCTGAAGAAGCAGATTAAACCACAGGACATCTTTTTACAAAAATGTTCAGAAAGTAAGGCCTCCTCCTCCCTCCCCTCCTTCTTTGCTGGGCCCAAGCCTCTCGACTGCAGAATGGTTCCCCCCCCTTACTTTCATGAGCAAGAATGTTATTGAATAAAAAAGTCAAATTCCTGAAAAATGTAGAGTGTTTATGTTTTTGTTATGAGAGTAGAAATACCAGATTGTGGCGAAGATGTCAAGTAGTTAAGGCTAAAAAAAAAAAAAAAAAAATTCAAAGTAATATTTTAAAAGATGTTGTAAAAATTGTATAGGTTTCTTTTTCTCTTTCCTTCACATTTTTGAAGAACCTACCTTGTAAACATAGTGATCAAATGCCAGGAATATTAGGATTTTACAGAAATAATAGAGCTTATTATTTAAACTACAATATAAAGAACTTAGGCATACATTGATGAAGAAGAGCTACATGGGCTTTGTGTGTGTGAATAAACTTGGCCCGTGTTCAGCTTCTATTTGTTTCTCTGGTATAAACACATATTGTGTGTGATTCCAGTTTAATGGGGACCCGTTTGTATGCCAAGCAGCTGCATTTTTAGGACCTATTTCGTGATTTCTATAGCTCTCTGAAAAGTTGGTTCTATTCAGGACAGGAGATAGAAGAGATCAAGGGGGTGGTGGGGAGGGGGGAAGCTTCAACACACAATCATTTCTTTTTCAATTGGAGCCAGAAAGGTTGATGACAACATGACCATTGTGTTATAATGATAAGACCACTAAGGCCTCTGTACCTCACATCACAGCTTTCACTCCCACAGCAGATACAATTTAATTCACTGCTCCGTCAGCAATGCGCCTGACAACCTATGCCAATCTATCTCCCCAGTTACCTAATCACTGTCCTCTGAGAAATGCAGTTGAAATGATCTTGGAACAGTCAAAGAAACTCTCAATTAAGGCTGCCACTTCCAATGTGTCCGATTGTGTCTTATGCACTTGGTACAATTTTCACTTCCAATCCTGTTTATTTACAATGTCTACCAGTAAATTACGCTTAACGTGCATTTTAGTGAGGGGGCCCCTGCCGGCCGATTGCTGGTGCATGCAAGTGTGCCATTGAGGTGTGGGAGTGTCATAAAGTCAATGCCATCAGCAGCTTTTAGGCCCTGATGGGATGCGGTGGTAACGTTGATAATGCAAGTATGCGCTCATCAAGTCATAATTAGATGCCGATCAAATGTGCCACTTGTAATAACAGTGTTGATTCCATGTTTTTCTCGGTGACTGCAACTACTAATTAGTTAAGTGGTTTTTGGTTGGCCTGCATTGCAACAGATTATTACCCCTGGAAAAAATGTCAAGGTTAGAGATGTTTCTGCTTTTATGAATTTGAATATTAACATAATAAGAACTTTGGACAGACTTAGGAAGTAATACATTTTTTTTCTGTATTTCATTTAAAGAACCCCCCCCCGGAGTTTAATCATAATTGCAGGTTAATTAAGCTTAAATGAAGCAAGAGTAATCTGTCTTTGTGTTATATGAGCCCAGGGCTCTTTGCTAACTTTTGTTGATTTTCACATTTGGGTGTCCTTTAATTTTCTTTTCCTTATGCCAAACAAATGGAAGTCAGTCTACAATATGCAGGGTTAGGGTTGAGATTCTGGGGGTGGGAAAATTCGTATTTTTTTCTTGCTTAATCTTCAAAATACCATTCCCAGATCTGAAATAACATGTCTTTAAATCTAAATTTACATAACGTAGCTACTCCCCCCCCAGAATCTAAAGATTAAAAAATTTTCAAGTGTTGTTAAACATCCAAATAAAATTTGATTTTCTTCTCCTCCCAATGATATTTTGTTTTGCAATGGACGATTTGTGAGTACCTGTTTTCTCGTCGCATGACTTGTAAGTCTCAGTGCCACGCTTTCCTTACCTGGAGTAGAAGAAACAACAGGAACTAGTTTGTATTATTGGAAGAGGGATATCACAACACTTTAGACACTCATCCACGTTATTAGGCAGCCACAAGATCAACTTGGGATTTATGTCTCCTTTTATTTCTTATGAGCTCTATTTTTCATGTTAAATCCACAAACAGGGTCTAGGCTGATCAAAAAACTACTGTACTGTGGCTTCTTATTTATTGGAAGCTTGTTTACTTAATGCATGTCTGTTGTTCGTTTGGAAACAGCAACATAGAAACTGAATACTTTAGGGGCAGGAGAGCCAGCTCAATGGGCAAGCACAGAGGACCCGAGTCTGATTCCCAGCACCACGCAAAAAGCCAGGGTGGTGGGTTTGTGTTTTCAATAATCTCCAGCGCCATGGAGACACAGACAGGTGGACTAGCCAGAGAGGCTCAGCTGAATCAGCAACCCCCAGGCTGGTGGGGGGGCCCTGCTTTATGGAAACAAAGGTGGGTAACTTTTTGAGGAATGAACCCCAAGGTTGGCATGTGTACAGGCATGCAGGCTTTGCACACATGTTCACACACACACACACACACACACACGCGAGAGACGCGAGAGAGAGAGAGAGAGAGAGACGAAGACTTTGTAAAATATGGCATATGCAATCATTGAGAAAGTTCTTACTTTGTGTGTGTGTCTTTCTTTCTTTCACATACACACATTAGATGGGATTTATTCAACGGCGGCTTCTGAGGAATTTTTAGTCATGGCCAAAGTGTCTAGGCTGTAGGGAAGAATGGGAAACATTCTTGGTCATGGGGCAGGGTGGGCTTCAGGAATAGTTGACTCAACCCTTGAATGCTGAGCTCTTTTTCCTCTTAGGCCTAAGTTTCTCACATGGTTATAGAGGAAGTGAATTTCATGCAGAACCATCTTGAGATAGGAGAAGACATGCTCGAGAGAGTGCTGAAAGCCCTTGGCAACGAAGGGGAGTCTGTGCAAGCCGTGGGGCTGTGCCTAGGCTTCTGTATTTCAACTCGGTCTTCTACGGGGAGTCTCCTCTCTTGCTTTGTTTCCAAATCTCTGCCCACTTGTCTGCTTTGAGAAGGAGAGGTAAGGTCCTAAGTCCTGGAATGTGATTCCTGTAAGCATCTGCCGCATGGAAAATCCATTTTCTGTTATAAAAGTAGACTAGTGTGTGTGTCTGTGTGTGTGTTTGTGTGTGTGCATGTTTGTGTATGTTTTGTGTGTATTTGTGTGTGTTGTGTTTGTGTATGTTTTGTATTTGTGTGTGTTGTGTGTCAGTGTCTCTGTGTGTGTATGTATTGTGTGTGTGCTTTGTGTGTGTTTGTGTATGTTTTGTGTTTTGTGTATGTTTTTTGTGTGTATGTGTGTCTGTGTCTGTGTGTCTGTATGTGTGTGTGTTGTGTGTGTGTCTGTGTGTGTGTGCTTCTGTGTCTCTGTGTGTGTGTTTCTGTGTGTCTGTGTGTGTGTTTCTGTGTCTGTGTATGTGTGTCTGTGTGTGTGTCTGTGTGTGTGTGAGTGTGTATGTGTTTGTGTGTGTGTGTCTGTGTGTGTGTCTGTGTGTGTGTGAGTAAGTGTGTGTGTGTTCCCAGCATTGGGCCCCTTTGACTTGGGAGGAGTAGTCCATGAGGCAGACTGTTAGAGTAGACTTTCCCCACCATCTGGCACGTGCTTACACTTCGAGACTGGCCTGGTGGAGTGCTGCGCACACAGCCCCTGAGCGCATTTTCTGCTGGAGCCTGATGAAAGTCCAGCCCCAGCCTCACATTTCAGGTGGTTATTTGTGGAAGCAGAGGGAGGGCTGTGGAAGGGGTGACCTCCATCGCACCACGATTGCCTCTAGCTGATGATTTTACCAAGTGTGTAATTTTCTATATTCTGTCTCATCAGAATTACATTATTAGTTAAAGAATGTTTTTATCTCTGTCTTATGTATTTTGGGTAAAAAGCATCCATCAGAAAATGGATTACAGCAATTTCCAACCAAATTCTCATTCGTAATGCTGGTTGTATCTCCACTAACCCCATACCACTCACCTCTCAAAGTATTTCTTTGGATGTGACTGAAGTCCCACTATTGATAAATAGATAAATAAATAAATGTACTTAATTTGTATGCATTAGCAGCGTGCTTGCTAAAGGTATCTGCTTAATTGTTTGCATAATGACACTGCACCAGGATTCATAAGATACGGAATCAGAGCTTAACTAGGAACATGAATTTCCCCGTGTAGCTTCCATCCTGTCTAATGCACGCACAGCATTATGGGTGGCTCCTCTGAGGACACTGATAGAGCGGGCTGGCTCACGTTGCTTCCACTGGCCCTCACGTCCCAGTGTTTCTGTCCCTTGGATTCTGGATGCCTCTTTCCATTCCCTTCACTTCTTCTGGGATGAGTGAAGAAGCAATGTGTTTGAACCAGGGTTGGTTCCTCGGAACCTTTCCAGTGCCCAAGGGTGTCTCTGTGTCATATGCATTCAGATGGACACACTCTTGCCTCTTAGGACGGTAAGAGTGTATGGAAAGCGAGCACATGAACGCTTGTCTTATTTCTGGCTGCGTCGTTTGGGACATATGTGACTCTGAGCAGGCCAGTGCTGTGCTCTGGTCATCTCATCTAGATGACAGGCAGACAGTGTTGACAGCAGAGAGTGGTGTGTGTGTGTGTGGGGGGGAGGGTGCCTCCTCTTTCTTCTTCATGATGCTCTGCGATTAGCGGTCCAAACATAGCTTGCTTTCAACCTTATTTTATCTCCTCTTTTTTTTAAAAAATTATTTTATTTTATGTTCATTGGTGGCTTGCCTGTGGTGTGCATGTCTGTGTAAGGGTGTCAGATCTTGCTGTTACAGACAGTAATTAGCTGCCATGTGGGCGTTGGGGAATTGAACCCGATCCTCTGGGAGGAGAAGTCAGTGCTGCTCTTAACCATGAGCCATCCCTCAGCCCCATCTCCTCTCTTCCTTTGTATTTTGTGTGTATGTGTGATGGCATGCATGCGTGGTGTGTGTGTGTGTGTGTGTGTGTGTGTGTGTGTACCTGTATCTGTAGCTCAGGGTCACCTCAACTTTGGGCCTTTCCCTCTATCCCTTTTGGCCTGGTATTTAGAGACAGGGTCTCTCACTGAACTTGGAGCCTGCTGTTTAGCCCAGTCTGGCTGGACGGCAAGTCCTGGGACTTGCCTGTCTCCACCTCTCCAGCCCTGGAGTCACAGTGCGGTCCACTCTACCTGGTGTTTTACAACAGGAGCTGAGGGCCAAAACTCAGCTCTTGATGCGCTTCCCGCCAGCACTTTACTCCCCAGTTCTGTTCTCTCCAGGTGCCTTTCTTGTTTTAACCAGTGACTTTGAAAGAGAGACTTTGTCCCTTTGAGCTGTAATTGTCTTATGTTAAGCATCAGGGTTTTCTGAAGACAATCCCATAGCCGTGGTGTGGTGTAAAAAGAAGCATTAGTATGAGGGGCAAACCCTGCCATGTGACAAGTGGTTTATCCCTGCTCATCGGTCACCGGGCTCCCTGTCCCCTAAGCGTATTTTTAATAACGGGTCCCTTAGTGCACGGCATTTGTCTCCTGATTTATAAGAAGTCTTTTGTAAAGTAGATATTTATTTGGTTTGTTTTTGAGGATGTGTGATGAACTCTTGGGACTTGAAAAAAAAAAAACAGACTAAAAGTGGAGTTTCGGGGCATAGGTGGGATGGCTGGAGTGTTTGTTTGATGCTCTTCCAGAAGACCCACGTTCAGTTCCCAGCGCCCACATTAAGCAGCTTATAGAATCCCAGTAGCAGGGAGGGGATGGGATACCCTCTTCTGGCCTTTGTGGGGACATGTGATCTTGTGCACATACCTGCATAGATAAATGCACACAATATTAAAAAAAAGAAATATTTTTGTTGTTGTTGTGTTTTTTTTTTTGTTTGTTTGTTTAATTTTTTTTTTCTACAGACAGGGTTTCTCTGTGTAGTCCTAGCTGCCCTGGTACTCACTCTGTAGAGCAGGCTGGCCTTGAACCCACAGAGATCTGCCTGTCTCTGCCTCCAAAGTGCTGGGATCAAAGGTGTGAGCTTCCACCGCCAGGCCAAATGGAACGTTCTCATGGTACAGTTTGACCTTGTCAATTTCTCACAAGTGTGGCTCCTCCGTTTTGGTTTGGTTAGTGACAACGTATTTGAAGCCAGTGATCCAAAGTTATTTGGTTTATTCCCCTTGTCACTGCAGTGTGCCCAAGGTGACCACCATGTAAATTTCCGTATGACGATGAGTCCTTGTAGTGTAGCATGAGGTGTTTATGTTCTGCCTCGGAGTTAGAGAAGTCTCAATTGAGTGGTGCAGGATCACCCTATCTACAGCCAGACAAAGGACTAAGACATCCTTTCCTGAATTCCTCAAAATCATCCACGCATGATGCACTGTGGATTCGAGTTCTCCTCTGTGCTGTGATATAAAAGGTCTCACACTTGCTGTTGGATTTTACCCTTCTACTTCAGTCCTGGAGATGGTGTAATCACCTCCCAGGGCCAGACTTGGGCAAGGAAACTCTTTTTTTTCCAGGTCCATGTTTCCTAGAGAAAGATCTTTGATTGGCTAACCATGGGTCGTGTACTAATTCTAAGTGTGGATTGTCTGTGGCCAATGACATTGTCTTCCCACAGAAGCCAGGTGGAATAGAAGAGAATGGAGCTGGGAAAACAGACCGATTCAGTATTCTCAGCACAGCAACAAATAGAAAATTTGTCAGAAATAAAGCAGTTTTTATTAAGACTATTAATGGGCTAGAAATGTTGATATTTTATCTAATTCTTTAAGTGTTCCTCTCTCTCTCTCTCTCTCTCTCTCTCTCTCTCTCTCTCTCTCAGCAAGTAAGTGTGCCTGGCGCACGTGGCTGTTTTCATGCCATAAATCAGGCATGTGTGTCAGGGAACAACTTGGTGAATTGGTTCTTTCACCCTGAGTTCTGGAAAATGAAACCACAAAGGCAAGAAGAGGGTATTCAATCCCCTGCTGCTGGGATTCAGGTCCTCAGGTTTAAGCACTTTTGCCCACTAAGCTATCGGCCAGCACCAAATTCCTTGTACTTCCTTTTAAAATTTAATTTTATATGCATTAGTGTTTTGCCTATTCAGGTCGTGTGAGGGTGTCAGATCCCATGGAACTGAGTTATAGACAGTTGTGAGGCCACGGTTGCTGGGAATTGAACCCAGATCCTCTAAAAGAGCAGCCAGTGCTCTTAACCACTGAGCCATCTTTTCACACCCCATTGTATTTCATAATATTTATAGCCAGTAATCCACTTGCAGCTGCTGTAACCCAAGAAGAGGCCACTAAAATATTAAAGCATGGGTGTGATTTATTTATTGACTGAATTTAGCCGTTACATTCTATCTTGGATGTTAGTGTGTATGTAAGACAAAAATACACTTAATTCCTTTGTCTGAAAGATCCAAGATACTTGTTTGACTGCTGATAATAAAATGACCACTTTTCTATTTTATTTTTAGCTAAACAAAGAGAATAAAACACTGAAAAGGATCAGCATGTTATACATGGCCAAACTGGGACCAGATGTAATCACGGAGGAGATAAACATTGATGATGATGACCCCGCCACTGACACGGATGGCACAGTAGAGACCTGTGTGTCAGTCCAGTGTCAGAAGCAAATCAAAGGTGAGATTCCACTGTTTCGACCGAGTATGGCTTCTGCCAGGACAAGGCTTCATGTTTCTGTGAGCACATCAGCACCTCAGGAGGGAGTCTGAAAATACATGGGGGCTTGGGAGTTGGTTTGGTGGTTAAGAGGACTTGCTGAGCAGGTATGAGGGCCTGAGTTCAAATTCCCCGGCCTTCACATGAAAGCCTACGTGGATGTACATGCCTGTAATACCAGAACCAGGGGGCGTGGTCACAGAAAGATGACTGGGGTTTGCTAGCCAGCCCGTCTAGTTAGTACCCTAGCAAGCTCCAGGCTTAGTCCAAGACCCTGCCTGTAAGGAGTAGGTTTTTTCTGCCCGCCGCCAGTCTTGTCCCACTGCGCGCCAGCCCCAATTAACACACGGAGACTCTGTATTTGATATAATGCTGTTGGCCAGTTACTAGTTTCTTATTGGCTAGCTCTATCTTAAGTATTAACCCATTTCTGTTAATCTAAGTATTTCCACATGGTCTCATCTTACCAGAGAGAGGGGCCGGCGTTCTGCTCTCTCCAGTCTCTCCATCTTGACTCCTCCTTACTCCTTCCTCTCTCCTCCTTGTCTCCTAGTCCCTTCTATCTTCCTTTCCTATTGGCCAACAGTGCTTTATTCATTAACCAGTATGAGAAACATACTTACAGAATGACATCTCCCATCACCTGTCCTAGGAGGGTAAGGCACAGAGTGACAGGGCAGGACTACTGGCGTCATCCTTGGGCCTTTGTACACGGGGTGTAGGCATGTGTGCCCGTACACACGTGAGCACACGTACACCATGCACACACACTGAAGTAATTTTGGAGAGTATCTATGCCTGGGTCTTACCACCACAATTAATTTTATCCAGGGGAGCCTGAGTGAGAGTCGCAAGAGTGTCCCTCTCTCCCCGCTTGGTGGGTTGCTTTCATTTTTGGAATGAGGCATCCTCAAAAAGTGTGGTGGTCTGGCTGAAAATGTGAGTTACCATACCTTTAAGAGCTTGGATCATGCTTTGCTTTTACTTTTTAGATTTTGTTTTATGAGTGTGGCTGTTTCACTCCGCATGCAGGCGTGTCCACCATGTGCATACAGTGTTAGGTCACAACCATGGTTTACACTATCTCTCACTTTGCTGGTGGTATAGCAGAGAGATCATCTGTGGGTAAGCCCAAGATTCAGTCCCCAGCACCAAAGTTTTTGTGTGTGTATGAGAGAGAGAGAGGGAGAGAGACAGACAGACCAACAGACAGAGAGGAGAGAGATACAGAGAGACACAAAGACAGAGAGACACAGAGACAGAGACAGAGAAGAGACAGAGAGAAACAGACAGACAGACAGTTTAGCCAGTACCCTGTATGTATTTGGGTCTCTGTTGTAATCATTGGAAAAAGATCTTTTGTTAAGATGGTGGAAAACACGTCCTGGTTCAATAACACGTGTGGCTTGGTACATGTTCAAAAACTGGGCTTATTATTTTCCTGGGTGATACAATCTCAGGTGGGAATGTTAGGACTTCCTGACTCCCCTGGCAAAGTAGCAGCTTCTGGTTAGCAGGGAGAGGGGGGTGTCAAGGGCTCCCGCTGCCCATTGTTCTCCCTTCTGAGTCTTGAACAATATGGTTTCATGTTCTTCCTTCTGGAATTAGTCAGCTGATGGAGAGAGTGACTTAGAGCTGAGTTCGCACAAAAAAAAAAAAAAAAAAAAAAAAAAAAAAGGAAAAAGAAAAAAAAAATTAATTCAACCTTATAAATAGTGATGTAACGGGGTTTCTCATTGCCCTTGGAGAAGGGGTAAGAATTGAAAGGCTGTTTAAAAAAAAACAAAGCTGGCAGAGCATGGGGCCAGAGGAGCAGAAGCTTAAGTAAGGAGCCTGTGTGAGTCAGGGGTGCTTTCAGACCAGGCAGTGACAAGATCCCAGAGTTTAACCGTTGTAGTCACAGTTGCTAATGTGTTCTGTCCTTGCAACATAACTTCCATTAAATCAGAAAAGTAGATGATGAGACAGAACACTCCCAACCCTGGAGAGGAAAGTGCCTGTTTACATTTTCAAAGTCAAGATCTCTGCCTCCTTCACACTCTGAAACTCCAGGTTAACTATACAGTTGTCTGTTTATGTTATGGATTGAGACCCCTTTGCAGGTCAAGTGACCCTTTTACAGGGGTCTGCCTGCTGAGCCATCTTGAAGGCCTAAATACTTAATCAAATGGAGGTAGTACCCATACCCACATTTAATCCTATTAAAAAAATTTTATGCTTTTAATAAATGTGTGTTATATTTTATTCTTGAATTAGTTTAACAAGTCATTTTCATTACAGTTAAAGATTACAATGTCGTTGCAACAAAGTTGCTCCTAAGACCACAGAAAACAGATACTTACATTACGATTTGTAACAGTTGCAAATTACGGTTATGAGGTAGCAGTGAAAATAATTTCCTGCAGGGGGTCACCACAGTATGAAGAACTGTATTCAAGGGTCTCAGCATTAGGAAGGTTGAGAATCACTGGCGTTTTACCTTGTTTTATGTCAAGAGCCTGTGAATATTTTGAAATAGCAGAGAATCCGATACAATTTATCTCTGCTGAAAGCCTATAAAACTTTTTTTTTTAAAACTTTTAAAATGCTAGATAGTATTTCAGAGTGTGATTTTTTTTTTTTTTTTTTTGGTAGATTGCAAATAAAATTCATTTTGGTCCCTTTAAACAGTGACATTATTGAGACTACCCGTGAAGTTCCTGTGTGGCTGGGTTGGGCTGGGTGTCATTTCCATGGTCCTTTCTTTCCCTTTAATTAATTGTCCATTAACCTGACTACAAACTGCATTTTCCATTCTTTTGGCCCAGATCCATATCTTCCCCTTAAAATAAATTTATTTCATGTGGTGCCATTATGGAAATCAGTACAGAGGTTCCCCCCCAAAAAAAAAAAGAAACTAAAAATAGGAGAACTACCAGGTGCCCCAGTTTTTAACAAACCTAAGGGGCCCTGCATCCGTTACAGAGACTCCAGTATCTGTGTCTACTGCTGCTATATTCATGACAGCAAGGAAGTGGAGTTAGCTGTCCACTCAACAGATGAATACACAAGGACAATGTGCTATACACACACAATGGGATTTTATTCAGCTGTAAAGGGAAATGAAGTTACTGGCTGGCCATATGGCTTTGGGTTGAGTGGTGCTATGCCAAGATGGACGGGTAACATGTTTCTGTAATTCCAGCATTCCTAGTACCTGAGAGTTGGAGACAGGTGCACTCCCCAGCTCAAGGGCCGATTAGCCTGGCCTGCTCTGGGTAAACCGCTACCAACCTTGGCTCAAACAGGCTGGAAGGTGCAAACCTACACCCTGAGTTCTATGTGATTTCTACATGTGTGCTGGCATGTGTATATAACTTGCAGTCACACCTGGACATGCACACATATGTACATGCAAGCAATAGACAGGAAAATGAAATTATGGATTGTAGAAAAAAGAATGTGACGGGGAAATACTACTTTAAGAGAGGTGAGCAAGGCTCCAGACGAGAAAATACCACGTGTTCCTGTCTCATTTATGGATCCTAGCATCTCATTTTTTTATCTTTGTGTGTTTGTAAGGGAAGGAGTGTGGGCAGATGGCATAAAATTACAAAGAGGTCCATGAGGGGGTAAACAATGCCTTAAGGAGGGAGCAGAAGGTGAGAGGCCTCAAGGGGAGCAAGTGGTTGTGGTGAGCTGCCTTTGCAGGGTTACTGTCAGGGCTAGCCAACCAGTTCCTGGGTTCATACCTGAGGGGGATGGGGGAGGGGGAAGGGTGTGTGAACTAAAGAAAAGCTAGCCAAAGACAGTAATGGAAGGACAGAGACACAGAATAAAATCATGAAGGCAGATGCAGTTAATACTGAATCACCACGTTTCTTCACCACATTTATACATCTTAACCAAGAAGGAACATGGTACGGTTTATAAGTGCAGCTAGCAAACATTTCTTCCTTTTCTCTAATGGTTCAATAAACACATCTTA